AAGTGCTTCATGTAATCTACGTTTAGGGTTTTGTAATTTTATATCATCAATGAAATTGTTTCTTACAAAAAAAAAAAGAACGAAGGGTGACACCTGAAAAGGATCTTATACCAGATGTTAAAGTAGACTAGATGGTGGTGAACTGAATCGAGATCTTAATTGAATCAAACCAAAAAATTCAAACCAATCTAAGAACTCAAAGCCAGACCAAGCCCAGAGCTATGAGTGTCTTAAATTCTCGAACACTAGACGTATAAAGTGGAAACAACCAAATTTAAATGTCATTGGTCACCATGCAAATGGTGTATACCATGAACAGTGGAGTGCAAACAGTAGACACCACAAACGACAGAGTGAGATAAAGATGCGATAAAGCCTCAAACTTATGGAGGAATGGAAATGGAATGATGCCTTTATAGATGTGCATAGAGCCCTCAGAGATGCGCGACGATTCATTAAGATTCATGTGACGGATCTGCAGTACCTTTGAAGACCTATGAAGGCACAAGGAAGATGACTAGCGAATGAACTTATGGGGCCACGATATAAATGCCAACGACCTACCCTGAAAAGGCAAACTTGCTACAGAAGAGATGTTGTCGAAGGTAGAGTGCAACATTTCAAACAGCAGCTAGGGTTCTGATAGTGACAATGGCTAGGTGGCAGCTAGGGTTAGGTGGTGACTAAAATTAAGGTTTTATTTCCCGCTCCATACCCATCTTAATTTTGAGAGAATAAAAACTATTCTACTATATCAATATGTGCGACCTAAGTCTATATAAAAGAAACTCATTACAATATAAGGAAAAACTAAAAGACAATAAATACCAATTATTAAGAACTAATATTTACAAATGACAATATATAAATATTAGGAAGTCCGACCATTCCAATCGTACATTATTTAAAAGGCATAAGACCTACTTCTTGTTATTGTTTTTTTTGGAGGAAATCTAGTTACATGGTGAAATTAAAAATTAAATGAAGTAGCTAAGAGTAGTGCTAAAGCAGAATTTAGTTCCTTAGCCCATGAAATTTGCCAAGGTATAGGGATGAAAAAGATATTACAGGAATTGAAACTCTCCCAGAAGATAATTATACCGGTTTATTGAGATAACAAGACTGCCATAACTCATTAATCTAGTTCTACATGATTGAGACCAAATATATTGAAGTTGACAAGTATTTTATAAAAGAGAAGAGTGATGTAGGTGTAATATATCTCTCTTACAGAACAAATGTTGGATATGCTAACTAAAGACCTTTTAGAAAGACAATTTTTTTTTGAACAAGATACGAACTTTTCATTGATATATGAAAAGGAACAAAATTGTTCAAAGATACAAACTCCCGAAGGAGTGATAGAGAAAGCAAGAAATAGAAA